TATTACCAAACACCATGATCCAATCGCCTGGTAATATCCCCCTTCAGTAGAGCAATCTTCCAAAGTAACCAAGACATACTAACCTTCATACCATCATAGCAACTAACCTAAACATAAAGTCCTAAGACCAAAATGCTTAAGGAATAATAATTAATAAATTTCTAAGAACTGAGAAGTAAATTTGAATACCTTCCTCTCCCCACATGGAACCCTATCACACACAACTGGAATCCAACAGCTCTGAGGCACCCAGACAAGCCTCTCCCGCTGGCTCCACACCTGGGGCTTCTGCTCCAATTGTGTGTCTCAAACACCCTCACACTCCACAGGACCAAAATCCAGCAGCATCATCTTCTTGCTCCATCTTCTGACTAACTTCCTGCTGCCTCTTCTTCTTCCCCTTATCCTGGGGGATAAGGACAGCAGGCCTCTGTTTCTTTCTCTCTTTCCTTCTATTCCCAAATGTTGATTCTTATGTATGTAGCTTCACTCATTGATTCAGAGGTCTTCTCAATCTGTGCTGGGGATTGAAGAATTCAGGGCCTTGCACATGTTAAGCACACACTCTACCACTAGGATTCACCCCCATCAGAAATATTTCAGGGCCTCAAAAATGCTTCTGTCCAACCAGGCATGGTGGCACACACCTGTAATCCCAGTGACTTGGGACACTGAGGCAGGTTTGAGACCAGCCTCAGCAAATTAACAACACTCTGATTTATGATAAAAAGTAGCAGGGACTAGGGATGTAGCTCAGTGGTAAAGTGCCCCAGGGTTCATTACATAGTAGCAAAAAAAGAAAACCCAGTCACTGCACTGGGGATGGAAAGCACCCTGCATACAGCATGGCCAGCCTCCTTTCAGTGGTGAGGGCAGCTGCAACACAAGGCCCTGAGCAACATGGAGAGTGGCCAGGGTAGAGCAGAGAGAGGGTATCATGGGAACCACGTAGGCAACCCAGCTCACAGCTCATGAATTAATCCACAATTTCCTGATTTACAGCTGAGAAAATTGAGTGACTAGGGGCTAAGTAGCATACCCAAGGTATCCCTGATGGTCAGTTCTACAGCTGGGATTTGAACTTATGTGCTCTTTGCCAGAGTTTTTGCCACCAACCACCAAACAAGTGACTCCAGAAGGAGTTGCAGTCAGGGAATGGAGTATGGTGGGAGTAAAAGTTGGAACATGGGAGGAATTCCTGAAATGGGTGCTGCAGGTAATGGAAAAAAGCCCTGTCTGAAAAATCCCAGAGTGAATTTAGATTCCTTGAGCCTTGAGGACCCTGGACTTGGAGGGCCTCACTCTGAGCAGATGAGGAAGGGCAATGGCGTATGGCCTAACCTGGGGCTGGAAGAAACACAGGATGGGGGAAGGGTAAAATCTGCCAGGAAAATTCAATGGTGATACTAGAAGCTGGAGAGAGGAGAAGAAAGGCAGACAACAGGGCTGAGGAATAAGGGTCAAGCACAGGAGTGACAGGTGAAAGGGAACCACATATGGCAGTGGTGGGCTAGTGACTAAAAGGATGGGAGGTGATGAGCAGACAGG